GAAGAGTCCAAGCTCAGCAATGGGGTCATTCTGGAGGAGGCATTTCGCAAGCATCCTGACTTCGACGGTTTTGCCAAGGACTTCAGCGACGCGGGCTTTAGGTTCCTGATGAAGGGAATCCAGGAAATGGCTCCCGAGCTCTATCTCGCACCCATCAAGCTAAGGTATGCGGAGAAGTGGGCTTCGGGCCCCAATGGGACCCCTGGCCCCCAAGACTTCATGGAGAATGCTTAAAAGAGTTCAAGTCCGACGCCTACCTCAACTGGGGCGATGATGCGGACCTGTCTTCCCAAGAAGTTGACTGGGCTCTCCTTCCAACTGCTGGTGCGAACTCCTCCCAAGAGGCTGGGATGATAGATTCTCAGGAGGTCGACATCCTTGGGTTCCAGGACGAGCTCGGGTAACACCTCGGAAGCAGCAGAGGCTTCTCCACCTTCTCCCAACTTTATTGCTTTTGTCTTTGTCCTTTCAAACTCTTGTACTTGGTCGCGAGGTCTATACACCTCCGCAAAAACTTCGTTTTTTCTAATTGAATAAATAAAACACTTTTTTTAAGTAAAACAAAAAACGTATTAATAGCTTATATATGTAAAACAATATAATGATGAACTCTAATTATAACTATCAACACCTACACATTGATTAACTATATAATAACTATTGTAGATACATATTTATTAGTTTTAATAACTGTCAAATCGAACATAGCTCAAGTGGTTCAGACACCTATCTCTGACCAAAAGATCATGAGTTCGAATTCACACCCCCACATGTTGTACTAAAAAAAACTAGTACACCAATTAATTGATACTAAAATACCTCAAACTAAGATGATTAAATATAACACTTGATTTATCAAGTGGTTCAGGCACCTATTGTACTAGTTAGAAGAAATTTCACTCCATAGCATAAATTTAGCTTGCTGTTCATTTTAGTTTGACTTTGATTAGAATTATGTTATTTTTGTAAAATTTGAATTTATATTTAAAAGTACCTATTTTATTTTATGGCCTCAATAATTTATTTGATCCAATCTTAGCTCAAATCAGCATGTTCATTAATTAATCTATCTTATTACACAATATTTCAAGTTATATATCTAAAACAATAATTTATGTCAATGCATGATTGCTTTATTTTATAATTCATTTTCTTTCTGCTGGTTGACAATTGATTCATTCCCACTCTTTATTGCATCCATGAGTTGTAAATATAAAAATAAACCCATGGAATTAAATATTATCACAATGAGATCAATGGGATCTGCAATATCAAAAATTACTTTTTTTTTTCAAGCTTCATTATTGTTTGAAACATAATTTTATTTTATAGCCACTTTGTGATAGAGTGGGTCTCCTTCCAAAATAAATTTAAGTGAATAAAGTATTGAATTATTAAAAATATTGTTCAGGTGAATGGAAAATTGTAAAATAAAGAGAAAAATATATACATATCCTACACCTATGCATAAATGTATTTGCAGTGACTTAAATAATAATAAAACTATTTATCAGCCAACTTTTGAGATTGTTAAGGTATCTATCTCCGATTAAAAAGTTACTCACCTCACACATGTTGTACTGGAAAAAAAACTTATCCATATAATAATAATAATAATAATAATAATAAACCTAGAGGTACATTTTCAATCCTTTGCTAAATTTCTTTGCACCCCTTCCCTAACTTCCCCACTCTCTTCTTCTTTTATATATATATATATATATATAATATCTTTTTCTTTTTTTCCTTTTCTTTTGTTGTCTGCTTTTCTTTTTATCCCATTTGTTACATTTTCTAATGTGAGTAAGATTATCTAAGATCTAAATCTAAAAGCTATAGTAAATCAATGAAAATAAAAGTAATCTTATCATTACACAAAAAATGTAAAAACTACAAGGCAATAATATTGAAGTAAATCAAAACATTCAAGTAATCAAAATATTATAAATAAATAAATAACTTAAATCAATCCTTAGAGCTAGTTTGGTGTTGTTTTTTATTTTCTGTTTTTTAATAAATAGAAAGATAACTACGTTTTGGTAATTGTTTCTTGTTTCTTGTTTTTTTATTTTTATTTTTTAAGAAACAGTTTCATATTTGTAACCGTTTATTTTTTTTTTTGGTTCTCTAAAATTTTAAATAATAAAAGGTAAATCTTTATATAAAAATTAATTCTTAAAACTAAAATTTCAAAACTTTTATTTATATTTCTTTTTAATATTTATTATGCATTTTATAACTGAAGGATGATAAAATAATATTTTTTATTTATGTTTAAGAAAAAAACATGAAACTTTACTTTGTTGTTTTTAAAAATTGCTTCACAATTTTGGAAACGTTTCTTGAATTAGAAACAAGAAAAATGAATGTTGACCCAAGCACATATCTTTCTCAAAAATTGAAAACAAGAAATAAGAAATAAGAAATGAAAATGTTACTAATGAGAATGTTATGAAATCTACGAAATCCGATGATGAGATGGATTATACAGCCAATGTATGAAGACATTGTGATAATTGCGTAAAATACTTTAGGGATGAAAATAGTTGCCAATATGACAAAATGTACGAAGTTTTACGAATTTTTAATTTCATAAAATTGCACTTAACTAGGGCTTTACCTCAAATTTGAAAAAGTTTTTGCAACTTTTTCCCTTAAACTTGAAATTAAGATTGCTTTTTTAGGCTTCCGATAGGTTTTCATTTGAAACATATTGTTAAAAAAGTATTATGGGTGCCTTCAAGTAATTATAAAAACATGAGATAGAATTGATAGGATTTCAAAGAAAAAAATAATAAATAACTCTGATGTATTTATGTTGTTTTTTTAATAAAATTCATTTATGTGCGACTTGATTTTAATTTAAATTATTGATTTTTTTAAAGATTTTTATGTTGTTTTTTAATAAAATTCGCGGTTGAATTAGGAAGTAAAATTTACAACATTTATCTAAGTCTAGAGTCTCATTTAATAAAATTTAATGTTCATAGTAAATTGATACACCTAATTAAATTTAGTGTTAAACTTTTATTTTTTTCCCTATATTTTATTTGTAATTATTATCAGGAAAGAAGAAAAAAACAGGGAAAGATGACTTGGTAAGAAATTACATCAAACTTCTGCAAAGGAAGACAAAAGGATCCATAAACTATGGAATATGGATCATATCCCAAGTACAACATATTATATATTTAAGCAAACATATAATAATCGAGCTTCATCACTTTTACATGAAGAGACCACTATTTATCTTTCACAAATTCCACAACCTTATTAGAGCAACACAATAATAAGTAACAAAGATACATAAATAAAGCCTCGAAAGATGACTCCAAATGCAAGACACAACTCTCACACCACATTATTCAGCCATTATTAGAAGGAAAGAGAGAGACGAAGCTCGAACCGAGACATAAAAGGTTATTATTTAAGGTGAGATTCAATGTCCTTGGTGATGTTATTCATGAGATCAAGGTACTTGTAAGGATAAGGGGAACCATCATCAATTTTCTCAAATTCCAAGGTCAGAACTGCCAAACTATGCTCGGGACCCTTCGGTACAACTTGATATGTTCCCTTGAAAGATTTGTAATGGTTGAACACATCTCCTTCCAGTCCAATCAGAGTCACCGCATATTTATCGTCATCAAATTCCACTCGCTCTTTGAAAACCTCAGTCTTGCCGTCTTAACAAATCACAAAAAAAATAAAAAGAGATCAATTCCCATTTCGTAAAAGAAGAAAAAAACATGATATCGTGATTGATAGTCATCTATATACATACCGATTGTGTAATTCCAGATCTTGATGGAACCATGACCATGGTTGTCCCAATCACCTTCATGAACTTCAACTTGTTGGATGATATTTGGGGAAATATTGGGAACATGAAAAGCTTGATCTTTGAAGATTTTGTAGTATTTCTCAGCAGGAGCATTTATTTCTAATTCACTCACAAATTTCCCACAAAGAGACATGGTTTCTCAACAATTACTCTCTCAGATTTGCTTGACACAAGACACTTACAACAATGCCCAATGCCCTCCCCTTTTTATACACCTCTAATAATCAACTATTTTATTATTTTATTGGTATTTTTGTTATTTTATTGTTATTTTATTATTATTTTTTTAATAATTATCATGTTGGTAGGGACCAGCAAGTAGTGTCCAAGGGTTGATTTAATTTGGTTATCATACCAATCAAACCCTAGTTGCTCCCTTGAATACCATTTTTACTTTTATTTTTATTTTTCTCTCTGTTTTCTGATGGGTAGTTGTGTGAAAATTTAATGCTTTTGATAAAGTTTGTTTTTTTTAATGGAAAACAAAAATGATCTGTATTTGATGATAATTTTTTATTCATATAGATCTCTAACCGAGACTTTGATATCTAGGTTGAATTACTACTGTGACTGGTATAGAGTTTGAATTTGAGAGCTCACAGTAGGTAGTACTGTTAATAAGAATCTCACATTGAAAAGATAAGAAGACCTAACAAAAGTTAATAATAAACATGAGCTACTCTCTTGTCACCAATTTATTTTGAGATGAAACCCTATCAACATTGATAAATACTATAAAGTCCCGGGGGACAATTTTTTTATTCCTATATTTGTATAAAGAAAAAATAAAGTGTTTGATCATGCTTTTTATAGTATTTTTCCTTTTAACATTTAAAAAATTATTTGCTAGAGAGATCCATAAAAAAGTGATATAATGGGGAAAAGAAATTAGAGCAAGAAAGTTAGGGAGGGAGACATAGATTTTTGAAATAGAAAAGGAAGAAGAGAAATTAAATGTGAGTACGAGGGAGAGTTGTGGAGAGATGAGTTAAAGATTGAATGCGAAGAAGGAAAAGTTGTAAAATATAATAACTTTGTTTTACAAAAATTTGAGTTGGAGAGAGCTATCGAAAAAAATATATTAAAAGAGAAATTTTGAATACAAAGAAGAAAAAAGTTGGAAAACAAATTTCCATTCTTAGAAGAAATGTGATTTGGAGGGAGCTATCGAGGATATGCATTGAAAGAGAAACATTGAATGCGTAGAAGATAAAGCTGGAAAACATATATCTATTTTAGTTTTCTTTTTAATTTAATTAAAATGGCATAAAACTTGAGAGCGGTTAAGGATCCCATATTGAGAAGAGAAGAGATCTAAATAGACATGAGCTACTCTTTGTTGGTTTTCAAGATGTGAAAGAAAGTGAAACTTAAAAGAAATTATTCACATATACGTTGTGAATATTATTCTTATTTATTATTATAGTGGTTTTGTTTCTTTATTTTATTAAATTTTAAGTTATCTTCTTATTTTGTTAAAGTTACAAATATGTGTTAAAGTTACATATATAACATATGTAAAGATGTTACATGTGTGTTTAATTTTGAGTGAGAGGTTACTTGTTTGTACAATTATACATAGTTGTGGATTTCTTCATTTTGAGATATCAAAGCATACCTCAATTGAATATTTTCCTTCTCTGACAAGAATTCTCTCTTCTTTTTTAGTTGTTCTTCTTGTTTATGTTGAGAGCAAATATCTAAGAGTTTTGCCAGATTCGAGTAGTTCGAGGATACAGTTCTACCGAAGTTAGTCGTTGTATCATGCTGAGACAATCGTTGTAGTCTGCTAGCAACTTGTGCAGAGCGAATAATTGTCTTCAGGTCAGCGCTATTGTAGCGTGCCTGGACTATATTTCGTAAAGTTTTTGTGTTCATCAAGCTGTCAAGATCTATAATTTTTTGTAGCCAGTTACGTTGTAAATTGTTACTACTGGTGTATATTTACCCAAAAATCTGAAGAAAAGTAAATGGCTACAAACAATTCTGCCAACGCTCATTCGATGATGGGATCGACTATTGTTAAATCTCATGCTGAAAAACCAGAGAAGTTCAAAAGAGAAAACTTCAAAAGATGGCAACAGAAGATGATCTTCTACCTCACCACCTTGAATCTTGCTCACATTCTAAAGGAGGTATGCCCAATTACTCCCCTAGAAGCAATAACTCCTGAAACTCAAGCTGCCAAGCAAGCATGGTTGCATTCAAACTTCCTATGTCGCAACTACATTCTGAGTTGCCTAGAGGACACCTTGTATAATGTCTACTGCAATACCTTTGATACTTCAATACAGTTGTGGGAGGGCATTAAACAAGAAATTATAAGCTGGTACTAAGAAACTCCTTGTTGGAAAGTTCTTAGATTACAAAATTGTTGATACCAAGTTGGTAGTCAATCAGTTGGAAGAATTGCAAATTATCATTAGTGATTTGCAAAGTGAAGGATTGATCATTAATGAATCATTCCAAGTTTCTGCTATGATTGAGAAATTGCCTCCTACTTAGAGAGAATTCAAATGTTATCTCAAACACAAGCGAAAGGAGTTGTCCATGGAGAATCTTACTGTGAAACTCCGCATTGAAGAGGATAACAGAAAGGGAGACAAAGAGCCACGTAAAATTGAAGCTAATGCATATATTACTGAAGCTTCAAGGCGTCATCCTAAGAACAATCAATCCAAGACAAATAATGTAAATCTTGGGCCAAGGAATGACGCTAACAAGTGCATTCGTGCAATCTATTGGGTTTGTGGCAAGAGTGGCCATATGCTGCAAACTGTAGACATAAAAAGGGACAAAGCTCCAACAACCAGGCCAACACTATGGAAGATGACAATTTAACTACTGTCATCTCTGAGGTAAATATGACCTCTAACACCAAAGGCTGGTGGATTGATACTGGTGCTACTAGGCACATCTATGGGAACAAATCACTGTTCACCACTTATAAGAAGCTAGATGGCAGTGATAAACTGTACATGGGAAACGCTTCAACAGCCTCAGTGGAAGGCAGAGGAAAAATCCTACTCAAATGGACTTTTGGAAATATACTTACCCTCACTAATGTGTGACATGTGCCAGAGATTCGAAATAATCTTCTGTCAGGAACCCTACTTAACAAAAATGAGTTCAAGCTTGTATTTGAGTCAGATAAGTTTATTCTGACTAAGGGGGATATGTATGTGGGAAAGGGCTATCTGAATGATGGCATGTTTAAATTTAATGTACTGACACAAGTGCCCAAGAATAATAATAATAATAACAACTCTTCTGTTTATATTGTTGAGTTGTGTAATGTATGACATTCTAGGTTAGGGCATATCATATCAATTATCATTCTTTACAAAGAATGGTAAGTTTAGGACTGTTGCCTAACATTAACATTGATAATATACACAAATGTGAAGCTTGTGCTGGATCAAAGTTTTCTAGAAAATCATTTTCATCTGTGGAAAGAAGTAATGAGTTACTTGATTTAATCCATAGTGATGTATGTGACTTGAAAAGTACTCTCACAATGGATGGTAAGAGATACATTGTAACATTCATTGATGATTGTAGTAAATATTGCTACGTATATTTATTACATAGTAAAGATGAGACCTTAGATGTTTTCAAAGTATATAAGGCAGAAGTTGAAAATCAACTTGAGAGGAAAATAAAGGTGCTTAGATCAGATAGAGGTGGTGAATATGAATCATCATCACTTTCTGAATTTTGTGAAGTTAATGGTATAATCCATCAAA